AGCTCTATAAGGTCATATGAACGAGGTTTACGTGACCGTACGGAGCTAGGTGCACGTGACCAGACTAAGCTGGGTGCACGTGACCGTATAGACGTGTATATAGTAGTCTAGTACTCCCAGTCTAATACAAACCATGCGATCCTTTCTGAATCACACTAGTCGAGCTGGCTAGGCTACGGGACTTTATACGCATCCTAATAGGACGTAGCGACGAGTCGCTATATAAGCTGTATATAAGTAGCACGGTCACGTAGGTGGAGCTCCTATTCATCGACCACTACAAGCCGGCGTACACGGCAGATCTGATGCTGTACGAGCAGCTAGGCATAATCGTGCCGAATGTGTCGGTGGTCGTGGCGGATAATGTACTATGGCCCGGTAATCCGCCATATCTGGAGTATGTGCGGAGCTCGGTGGAGAAGAAGCAGGACGCCGTAAAGGCTGGACCGGTGCGCAGCTATAATAAAGAGGGGATTCCGCAGCGGACGGTCAACAGTTATCATACGCCGGAGGAGTCGCGGCCGTTGTTTGAAGTGGCCGGCAACCCGAATTTGCAGTATGAGAGCCGGATGATCCAGCCCGAGGGACACCGGGTAAGTGATTCGGAGAGATTGAGTCATAGGGGATGGGCTGACCCGACCTAGGATGCGATAGAAGTGACACGATGTATAGGTATCACCGAGTAGAATTTTCAGAGCTTTACCAAGCAGTTGTCAGTGTCATCTAGATAGTACTTCTAATACAGAGGATTTCGAAAACAGTTTGCCCCCGACACACACGCTTTCTAGCGCCCCACTCAGAATGCGCTAATCTAAATTTGGCTCGCTGAGGTACCTTCCTTGAGGCGTAACACTATATTATTGGCTGCGGGGAAATCTAAAACCCAGCGATCCGGACTAGACGTCCTTGTGGATCTCTAGGAAAAGAAAACGGGTATGTCCGGGGGTAAACTGTTTTCGAAACCCTCTGTAAATAGCAGTGATACATGCGTCATTATCGGCAACGGGACGCCATCGGGTCGGCTTTTGCCATATACATTATTCATGCCCCGCCCGACTACCCGCTCAACCCACTTGTTAGATCTCGAAAAACTCTTTTAGGCTAGTCTTGCCTTCTATATCTACTCCGTTCCGATATCTAGGCTTAACCTACCCGAAATGATAGCGCACTAAGTATAGCTGAAGCTCAATCATCTTTCACACCGACTCTACTAATCTGCCTAAGTCCCTAAATAATGACATATAAAGTGACCACATTAGATATAAAGTAGTACTAAAAGGCCGTACGATAGCCATCTAGGAGGGCTAGTGGGCTATTATATTCGAAAGAGGGATACTTATCGGTGACTAGGTTCGCGATAATAGTTGAAGTAGTAAGTCCGAAGCTTCGGCCGACCTACGCAATTATATTATAGACCCCGCCTACAATGCCGTGCCTATCCTATAGGAGAGTAGCAATCATAACCAAATTCGAGATAGTGTATAGAGTATCGGCTCCGATCGCATTTATAGCTATAGCCGGGAAGATATATGCCTAATATAGCTAGTCGGGGTCAACAATTACTATTAAGAGAGGCGTAAGGGAGGCTGTTATAACTATAAGAATTAAGAAGACATTTGCCTTTAGCCGCTAAATAAAAAGCCCTATAATAATACTAGCTAATACTCCGCTAATTAGAGCGGGTAGAAGCCTTACTATATAGCAACTTAGTATTCTTTCCTAATATGTCGAAGATTCCTAGGGGTCTTAATATACCCGATATTTAGAGCGTAGATAAACCCTACACGTTCTAGAAGAATAGAGAAGCTAGAGTTTCGGTGGTATTAAAGGCTCCCTAAACTAAGAAAATATTGACGTAGACACTAGTGAAAACACGATTCCTCTAAATAGTAGTAGGGAAGAGCACCGCGCGGCCGGCCCTTTCTTAGAATTTGATCTATAGGCAGAATGCTCTAGCGAGGATATATAAGAAGATAATTAATATAATAATACTAGGGTATACGATATTATACCCACTACTTACTAAAGCACTTAAATAAAAGTTAGTTAGCTTATTCGAAAAGTAAACTAAATAGAATTACCCACGTTAAAACGTATAATATAATCCCTAGAAAGGCACTCGCTAAGAGAGCGCTAGTCTAGTCTATACCGTATAGTAAGTAAGGGATAGTGACCCTCCTCGGTGGCCTAAAGCTAGGGAGTATAGCGATTGCTATAAACATATTTAGACTATTTAGTATAGCCCTAGAATAGAAGGTCCTACTAGGTATTAGTAAAATAAATCATTCTATAATATAATATAGGGGTATTAGCACTAACTATTGCCACCCTATTATATCCGCGATAACTCTACCTAAGTAGAGACCTATTAAAAAGCTAACGGGTTATCCCCCTCCTATTAAAGTAAACGCGATGTTCCGTCGCTTTCCGTTACTAAAGAGCTTTATAGTGATACTAACGGCGGAGGGAAGATAGAATAAATTAGCTAAGCCTATAATAGCTCTAAAGGCGAGGAATAGATAGCTAGTTTACGAAAAACCATAAATAATATTAGCGAGTAGTTAGAGTAGACACCCGAGATAGAATAAGGGTAGCGCGCCGAAAACGTCGACTAGGGCGCCGTATAGTAGAAGCGTATATCCGCTAACTAAAGAGAATATAGACGCCGGCCTATATATAACGTCCTAAATTAGCGCGTTAGTCTATATAATTCGAACCGTAGTTACTTATCTTACTAAAGTAATAGGTTCCGCGCGAGATAAGTATCTGCTACTATTTTTAGCAGATAGACCACTATTGCTCTATTAAGAAAAGAAGGAACTATAGTAGTTAAAGACAAAGAGAAGATGAGTGCGAATGCAGATATCCGGCGCATCTCCGTACGAGTGCAGTTCTCATCATCATTCTAGGCTTAAGATGTTCTACCCGCTAGCGGAGATGTAGCTTCTTGGCCGCAATTTTCCGGAGCGATGATAGGATTACACGACAACGTTAGAGGATCAGTTGGTCCCGAGTGTGTGATCACGTCGGAAGACATCTGGGCGAGAGATAACCCCTAGTGTACAACACCGAGAATAGTAGGAAATTTAACAAATATGGCGTATAGCAGGCAGGTTCAAAGGCAGAAGACCCTTACGATTATCATAACAGTTTTAGACAGAAAGAGCCAGCTGGCTAACGTACTGATTACACGACTAACTACCTCGAGCGAGTGAGTCATCGAACTAAGTCTAGTACAGAGTCGAGCGTTACCAAAACGAGACAATTGTTATCCAGAACTCTTAATTGATCGGTCCGTCGTTCCCGTTGACCCAGTTAGGTAAGAGGACCGATGCCAAGGTGGGAAGGTCTCTTTTCCTCCAATAGTTCCCCACACCGAGGTCAGCTTGGCTCCTCCCTCCTCCCCCCACCCAACAGCAGAGGTCAGGTTTACTTGATTCTGATTCTAAAGTAGTGTTTTCAGGGACACCTTTTGGCAACAGAATTCCAGTGATAGCTAAACCTTTTTGAGGAGGCTCGATCTAACTATATCTGGTAAGCCCTTTTTTTCCTGCCAATAGCCTAGGCTATGTATTACGTCTATCGATAACCTGCACGTTGCCATTGAAGGATCAATCCTGATAAAACTGCAAAACTTCACCATGTACAGTATCACGCCGAGTTACCTAAGCAAAGATGACCACGCAAGTAACGTATTTCACTAGCGAGCTGCGCACCCAACAAAAAACGCGTCCATGAATTAGCACTTAATTAATTCAACCACCCACCACGCCACCAATTCGCTCTCAATCCCCTAAAAATTCAATAAAGCAAGAGGGCAGGATCTTATTAGCTATCCAGGCTACTAAGAATCAAGAATTCTCTTCAGTCCGTGAAGTAGCGCGCCAATTCAACGTCCCCGAATCAACTCTCCGGTCGCGTCTTCGTGGGATCGCATCCCGCGCGATTTCTCGCGCTAATTCGCATAAACTGACAGAAACTGAAGAGGAATCTCTTGAAAAATGGATTCTGATTCTCGCGGTTCAGCTCCCCGGCCCTCTACCGTACGAGAAATTGCGAACCTTCTCCTCAAGAAAAGCGTGGAAGTACCCCGGTCCTTTCGGTCGGCCAAAATTGGGTTACAAAATTCGTTAAACGGCGTCCTCTCCTCTCCTGTCGATTCTTGAAACGGTATAATTACGAGCGTGCGAAATGCGAAGACCCAAAAATCATGAGGGAGTGGTTTGATCTTGTTCAAAAAACCATCCTTCAATTTAGAATCGACCCCGATGACATTTATAACTTCGATAAGACCGGTTTCGCGATAGGATTAACGGCAACCGCGAAGGTTATTACGAGAAGTGAATACTACAGTTGGCGAGCACTTTTACAGTACAAATTAACAAACACGGATTGGCGCAAGGCCGACTACCTTGTGCAGCTGACGATGCCATTTATTCAGTTCACGACGGCCCTCGTGGCCTCGAACGAGGCGACAGTCCATAAAGTCTGTTTCGTGTTCAGGATACTAATGAAGCATGTCGACGAGTCAGCTGAAATATTGAGAAGAAAATCAGCTCCATGCAAACGGACACTACTCGAGGCGTCGGTTGTCATGAAGATGGAACTTGGAGAAGTCTACGAAAGACATTTCGAGACTTTGGGGTCATGTATGGCACTGGAACTTTTGTTGCGCCCCAGTATAAGGTGTCCGCATTCGATGGCGCCTCGTCATCGCAAGGCTTGGGCCATCCCGAGCGTACATCGAATATCTGAGGATCTTTCACCTACAGTATCGGCCGCAAATGCCCACGAGCTTGTCTTGCGTGAATGGACTGTCTTGCTCTCCGCAGTTATTGGGGCTCGACCGGCTTCTGCATCCACTAGCTGGTCTGGGGGCGCGGGTAGTTCAAGGAGCGGGCTAGATGAAGTTGATCAATATCTTCGCGAAGGTCTGAACAACTGCTCACTATACTTTCTGCTGACTACTGACACACAACAGGGGTTGTCAATACTTCGCCATGCGCTTACTGGAAAGACATCAACACGAGTGGCCTGTTCACACTCGACTGGCTCGAGATCTATTCACCGTTCCGGCTACAGGTGCTGGCACGGAACGACTTTTCACCGTTACGCAAGAGATCTGCCATGCGCGTGGGGAATATTTAGATGAGTCGACCATCCAAGACCTTGTGATGTATGCGTACTCGGAGGAATCTGGAACAGGGAAGCAATTGATCAGCCGGGTAGAACGTAACAAAGCAAGTAACGAAGAGTGGGAGGAGTTCGAAACAGAGGCAGAAAGGCCAGAACGGATCAGCGAGGATGAGTGGAGTCCAGCTGAAGCGAGTATTGACGTGCGTCCATGGGAAGACGAAAATAGCGAGGCAGACACAGTGATCCTGGAAAGCGCACCTACGGATGATCTGGGACAGAATATGGCAGATGAAGCGAGGAGGACTCGTTTCTGCCTCCACCTGTCACGCGGCTCATCAATAGCGTTCGAAGGAGATTCTCAAGCAGAATGACAGTGATCTACCAGGTGTCTCATTATTCTTCTCCGGTTTCTGTTTGCTGGAACTCGCTCCTGCCTATCCTGCAAGAACAACCCTCGCATTACAACCTCATTGTCGCTGATTTACAATAAGCCGCGTCCATTTAGAGGACAAAACGTCATACCAATCGATCATGTGGAAAGCGCATATGCAGGACAGTTAATTCACAATTATGACTTCAGCACTGTCTGTCTTGTTGCGATTTCCGGGAGAGATGTGGTTGCGATTAGCTGACGGCCACGCCATCATGGGCTCATCAAACTACGTAGCAGTACCTTGATGCAAAATGAGCAAGTATTACAACTCTGAAAGCAGAATACATAATATCATGTGCTCTCAATTAGATCTGACACGCAACAAAACGCGACAATCTCAAACAGATCAGGGGACGTGTTCATATATATTGTCAGTGCTAAAATACGGTGAAAGTAACAAATCAGTTTAAGGATAATCAGCATTTCTGATTAATCTCCAAATAAATGATATAAGTGCCATTATATGTCTTGCTGCTGCGGTCGAATGTAGTAAGACTGTCGTCCGTTCGAAGTATGGAGCTTTTGGTCATCAAAACGACCGTTGGCTGGACGAATTCTGGCTATCCGTTTCAGACTTTAGCTGTGCATCAATATTAGTACAGTACAGATGGATTAAGAGAGCAAGATAACCTGTTGGGACTGCCAACAATCAAGCTGATGGAACTGCCAGCAAAACGTTTTGACCTTTGCTTGTGCAAGTATAAAGATAATAGGTGAGAAAATGTAAGCGTTTCCAGAGGTGTTGCCTAATCTGCGTAAGTTTCTGCCACTCCTATTTATTCCTCCTCTAATTGTGCCGCGGTTCTGTCAGCAGCAAGCCTTTTGTTTTAATATCCTGGTGGGATTACTTTTGCTAACAGATTTGCACCCGTAGTAACGTTCTACGGCAACCCAAGTACGGCATTACGAGATGAGGTTGTTAGCGTACGCGAGGCCCAGTGATCCTCTATCGTCTGCACTCGGTCAAGATTGTCAACAAACGAATAGTGCATTATTACCAGCCCAACGTTCAAACAAGCTGGGATGAATCCAACTTTCTATTTTGATACTAACAGAGGTTTTGGCTAGTACAGGCACATAAGTTATAGGTGGCTGCCGCTGACAAATTTTTGTCTTGGGGACGTGGCTCTGTGCTAAGAAAAAGGGAGTAGAATGCATAGACTCCTTTAGTAACAAAAAACTACAGCCTTCGGAAAAAACAGCATGCAAGCTATGGACCAGACAAGGTTGGAACGGCGTTGGAAGATTCCCTAATAGAGACTTAGAGAAGTCCAAGCTTTTGCAAAATCCAATCCCTTTTGGCACCTTTCATGGTTGCCCCATTCTTTTTGAGATATGCTTTGGTAACTGGGAGGCCTTTGCAATCAGGATGCCCAGCGTATTCCAGCCACGACAATGGTGTCCGGTACATATTGTCGAGAGCATTGGCTTTGGCTCCGTTTTCCACCAGAATTTTCGTTGCGTTGTAAGAGCCGTATTGAGCAGCCCAGGAGAGAGGGGTACGTTTGTTTTTATCGTGGTCGTCTATTGGGGCGTATATCTCCAGAAGTTGTAAGAGAAGCTCAGTACAGTCCCCCATAGCGACGTAACGAGTCAGGGACCTCTTAAAGGGGCCTCTTGGGTTGCATATGCCCTGGGATCGGACCGACTTGTGCGTTGCTTCGAGGAAAGCCATAATGTTCTTGTCCAGCGTATTCATCTGGATACTTTTAAGGCGCTTGAATTCTCCATCCATGGCTGTGGTGGATTGAGAGGACATGGTTTTTTAGACACTTCAAAAAATCCAAAGGTCAGGGTCGCGAGAAAGAAACTTTCGGAACCCATGGCCAAGCTGGGGACCATAGGTTATGTAGTAATGGTGAGAGAGGATGTCCCATATCTCCAGGGTATAAAATATGGATATGCTTTCTGCCATCCATGTGCTTTCTGGCTGGTTCTATTTCATTTTAGTGATGCAGGATGCTCCTTGGAAGTACAGGAAAAAGGCTCAAGGGCATTCTGTGATATAAGTACGTGTTTCATGGCCTCGACAAAGTGCGGCTGCTGGCCGCAACACACAGTATGCAGCGGGCTGTTGGATTGAAGGGACGAGAAGGCTAACAAAAGGCCAGAGGCAACTCACCCGCACCGTGTTGTAGTGCCTCAGAAACATGAATTGGATCGTTCAACACGTAATGTTGTTGGGACCAAGGCTGGGTCGACCTACTTCAGGAACAAGACCGCCGACCACGCAGGCGGCCTGATACTGATACGCCTCGTAATTGAATACATGCGTTGCGTCCTCGGTTATGAATAGCATAGCTCTATCAGAATAGATAAATACCAAGGTCAAAATCTATGCTTGCGCATTTCGCGCCCCGCGTTATTGTAGATGCGGCACTTCACGTCGATAATAGCCTCCTACGCCGCAAGAATCCACCATGTATAACCAACTCTCATTTCTTTAGCCACAACCACACAGAATAAAACTTTACAAGCCGTTGGCCTTCAGAGGCCCTATGTGGTGTTAGCTGGTGAGATATTGAAGGGTTTACCTCAGAGTTCAGGAGCTCATCAGTTCTGGAAGGTTGCCCGCATGTTCTAGCCATAATATGCCGAGCAATATTGGTGAAGCTCACGCTGCCTTAGTTGGCCTAAACTAATACAATCTTGACTATATAGTCGGCCTTAATAAGCAACTGTACTAAAGTAATAATCTCCATTGCACCTCAAGTTTTGCGCAGACGAATGACATTTTAATGCAATAGTTGCCACCTATAGGGGACCTGAAGCATCTTAGAAATCTCAGGATAATTCTATAAAAGCCTCTATTATCCTTCCTCGTTTTGCTCGACTACACACAACGCCCAATCAATCGGGTAAGAAATATAGGACACGAGACGTAGCATATAAAACATTTTCGAAATTTAAGCTCCTATAATTCATTTAGAGACAAGGAAAATGCGTTTCTCTATCGTTATGATTCTCGCTAGTGCCTATATAAGCGGATCTCTCGGCGGCACCCTTAAGATCATTGATATTGATAGTCAATACGCGATAGAGTCCTATAACAACCATGGCTGCACGGGATCTTTAGCATTCTTTAGCCAACTTGAGGGAGAAAAATGCTTAAGTAAGTGGACTTCTGGTATAAGAGTCAGCAAAAAGATTTACTAACAAACTCGCAGCGGTGAACGAAGTCGGAGACCGTACCTATCGCTATCCTATGCACGGGGTGGAGGCTTGTGGCACGGAAGACAATTCGTCAGCTACATGGATTCAGGTGAAGGATACGGGGGTGGTCACCTTCTCCAATCACTAGGGAGAAACGTCGTTATATACATTAGACAACGGACTTAAGCATGGCAGCCGATGTATTGCTTCTGACTCGGGATCTTCCACTAAGGCGTCCTCCGCTTTAACGACACCGAAGTCTTCGTCATCTGTGTCGGAGTTATCCTCGACTACCTCCTAGACCGCACCTTCTTCTGATTGTTCCGCGGATTGAGGAAACGTGAAGAACAAGTGGCAAAGTGACATCACTCTCGGTATATACCAAGCATACCCTTCACTACTTTACAGGTGGATGGAATTTTAGGCTTTCTATTAGTCATGTTCTTTAATGTCCGGTTTTGTTTCCTTTTGAACATTATATGTAGGCAAATTAGACGGAAACGTGGATAGCAATACAATTGAGTTAAACTAGATGGTGTTCTGATAGATTTATACTGATTCATAGGTTGTGATTCGATTCTGCATTTTGTTCTTTAGGTTCAGTTTGGAGAGTAGTAATAGGTTGTACTATAGCTACGCTTTGCTTTCCAATTTGGGCGCTTCTCTTAAAGACTTCCATCGATATGATAGTATTCGAGACCTTATCCCAATCTGAGGAAAAGTAAATAAGGAACCTCCTATATTCGGAAGACTAGGCTATGGTGATTGAATACGCCCTTTGTTGTTGCAGGTTGGTTTATGCGTTATATTGTCGTTCCAGGGATTGAATATACATATAATATGACACTTCTTGAGTTTTCCGACGGTCTTCGAGCTCGACGACAAACAGCTCGCCGATCACGGGAGCCCGGGTAATGCAAATACCAATGGCAGGCTCAAGGGGTATTTTATTACCCTAGGTTTCTGCTAGAATCAGTTCCGAGTTCGGATAATTTGCTCCGAGTGTCTGCCTGCTTGTCCTAGCGCATTTTTTTGTCTTTCGAGATTATTTGTTATCATTTGGACCGAGAAATCTCATACAACGGATCGCCCAGTTGGGACTTAGGAGTAAGAAGCTATGTCGATGTAGCAACCGTGCTTGAGATTGCAAGTTGGGGGTTGGTTGTATGCAACTCCCTGCAGTGGTGTTCGACTTCTCACCCGCACGTAAAGTGGTGCTCAAACAGGCGTCGTCCCATTGGAGTACTGCCTCCCGAATCAAGCGAAAAATCATCCTCTCTAGGGGTACTTTGGTCTGAAATCATTTTTATATGGCCTTCAAAGCCGGAACTTAGATAAAACTTTCCTTGTTTTATGCACACTTTCTGTCTCTGTCCGTATAACCAGCAACTAGATATCCATAGCGGTATCCAGATACAAACATGCACATCTTCTTCATCACCATTAAGAAACAGGTCACGCCCCTGTAGATGGTTTCATCGGTGCTAGGAACTTATCTCTTGACCCTGGGAGTTCTCTTGCTCCCGGAAGCTTCTGAGACGTTTCTGGGAGCAAAGAGACATCCTCTAGGAGCCACGTAGCCCCCAGGAAACCCGATGTAGCTTCTGGGGTCTGGTATCCCCACCTCGGGGAATCAAAGCCGCGTTCCTGTTGACGATTTGCTTGATTCCTGGAGCGATGATTTGGCCTTCTAGGAGTGACCGAATGACGCAGGATTTTGCGCAGGTCCGGCGAAGGTGTTTTGTGAGGGCTTTCGACGATCTCGGAAGGCAAGAGAGTGACTCTAGGGCCCTAAAGTAAGCTCCCGGGGGCTCCACAGCTCCCGGATCTGGTCAATGTATTCCCAGAGCCAGTTTCGTATTCAGTCAGGAACGTAGAGTGAAGATCCAAGGGGTAGATCTCATTTTCCTAGAAATAGGAACAGCCCCAGGATCTCAAGAGTATTTCCTAGGGGATAAACAGCTCCTATAAATGCTTTTGAGGTTCCCAGGGCCAACATATTGGTTCCCAGAGTAAGTTAACAAGCACGAGAGTTTGTCAGTCTCTTGCCTGTGGCTTTTCTGCTAACAATCCCCGCCTTCATGAATCCTCTGTTTCTTTGGTCACCGCCGTTAGGTATCATGAAAACAGAACTTTTATCTACCACTACAGTCTCGAGCTCAGACATTTTCGGAATCACCGAAGCAGTCAATAGCTACTAGCTATGGTGTATTAGTGTCCAGCACTTACGAGATGAAACGGTCGCGTTGTCCTTCTGAGTTTAACCATCGGTATTTCATTTCTTGCTAATTTGCTTCAAAATTGTATATTACGGCTATAACGGCTATAATTCTGTTGCCGATCACGATGCCGAGTGTCTGGTCACGTGTACTCGCGTGTGATTCACTCGCTTTTCGCATTTTCCGTCAGACTCGGCTGTAACCTGTGATCACCTACGCTGAGTGGAATTGAGTCGTGCCGATCGGCGAAGCGGTGCAGCGGTGGAAGGTTGTCGCGGTAGATGAGTCCCTGCTAGTCTGGCTGAGCGACGGGGCCCACTAGTGGGAGATGGATCGCTTGCCGTGTGGACGGAATATGTCTCGGCATCCGATGAGGTGATTGGTAAAGGGCGAATCAAGGCATCTAGGGCACCTTCGTTTCGGCTGCGGTCATCAGTATCTTGGTCGTCTCAGAAATAAGGTCATCCACACTTACCACACATAGCATGACGTGCCAAACCCTATATCTCGCTTTTCTAACCATTCTTCGGCGCATGACAGATGACAGAGCGATGTGCACTGACCGCAGTGCAAGATCACGCTCTCGTCCGCATGGTCTTCATCCTCGGTCTGGCAGAACACACAGTAGATGCTGTCGACGTGGATGCTGTCGACCGCTTGGCTCGGCCTGAGTCTCTGCAGCGTCAAGTCTCGGACACCCGCCCGGATATTAGTTGCCGATGAGAGGATGGCTGGTCGGGTCGGCGAAACGCGCTATGGAACACTGTTCGTCCGCAGCATTGCAGAAGTCACAAATGGATTGAATGGCTGCACTGGCTCGGGGTTGGTTGAAAGCCGCACCGGCGGGTTTTGTCTGAGCCTCTGAGGAGGTGACGGGCCAGTGTTGTCTGATGCAGGGCGTCGCCTGGAGGCTGACGATGTCTGACGCTGGCCTGGATGTACAACAACTGATGGAGAGGCCATTCTGGAGCCATGTGGTACTCGCGCCTGGTTGCGGACGGCGGCTTCATACCACTGCTGGCCAACTTGGTCGGCCTGCCGTTGCCGGTGCCATCTCGCGCAGAGGAAGTCTCTGGCGACATCACAGAGCTTCGACTGCAACGATGACAGTCAAATGGCTCTCTGGCGAGAGTGGTCAACTTTTGATGGCCGATCTTGGTGTCTTCAACTTTGGTCGAGTTCTTGCATGGCTCGCCTTTTTTCGTCATCCCGCAACAAGAGCCAGGACCGCCATTGGGGCTGACCTCTATCTCACAAACCAGAAACGGATTCTAAGGCAGCATGGTAGTTATTGAGGTTGTCGTCAAAGGCAGAAAATGCTTCGGATTGTGGTGGTGTTTGGCAATCACTGCGGCGTTCCCTCGCCAGCTTTATATGCCATCGCGTGGCTCCTTACCTACATGGCTGCGTGACTGGCATGGAACACTTCCTTGAAACAGTCGGTACGTCGAAGAATGCATTCACACGTAGTATGCGCCGTATACAGCCGATCAGTGGCCTGCATGAAGGGATATCATTCCAGACCACTGCTGCAATCAGCTGCACACTTAACTATCCATCGCGGTGACCACGCATTAGCGAACAGACTGACTACTGCGCTGAGCAGCAAAGTCGACAAATGCTACGTTAGGTTCTGGGTTGCTTATGAATTTCAAAGTGCGCGATAGGTTGTGATTTGTTCTTATGGCGCTAGATGCAAGATGCGGGTACGTAGAGATAGATTCAGTTCCCATGCCATCGACACACTACCAGGAACAGTCTTGGCGTTCCCAGGAGCTAGGCTCCAGATGTCCTCCAACTCCGCCTTAACATTGTTGTCAAGGCTTCGTTGCTGCCGTGTGCTTGCTACGCACCTTTCAGCGGAGTGACAGACTACACTCCTAGCTGACCACGGAATTTGGCTGAGGTGAGTATATAAAGGCCTCCCATATCCTACTTTCACATCTCTCACCTCACCCCTATCTACATTTCGTTTGCTCCATCCGCTGTCCAATCATGGTCTGTTTCAATTCGTTATTACTGAGTTTACCGATAAGCTAATACATTACAGCCAAACATCAGAGAGCTGCCCAACGAGCTTTTACTGTGGATTGTGTCGTATTTGGATGGTAGTGCATTGTTTGCCCTGGCAAAATCATGCAAAGGCTTTGATTTCAAACTTCAGCCCAGCATCTGGAAATACAACATCAAATTTCAGAACAGCAATCTGTTGCACCTGGCTCAAATACGACGACAACGTTGGTCTTGCGGAGGCTTTGCTCCAGCACAACGCCAACCTCAATGCATTTTACCGAGGAAAAACACCTTTAATGAGGGCGCTCAAATACTCCTCCGCTGCTGTGCGGGACCTCTTGCTCAGTCGTGGAGACCTAGACATCAACATTCAAAATCAAGCGCGGGAGAGCGCCCTGTGGTATGCCGTCCGCTACGGAAACCTTTCCGCCGTCAAGAGCGTCTTAAATCAACCCAACGTCCAGGTGGACATCAAGCACAAACACGGCCGAACGGCGCTCCACCTAGCAGTCTTCGCAGGCCGAATAGGGTTCGTGCATCTGCTACTTTCTAGAGGCAGTGGCCCTGATCTACAGGATGATTCGGGCCACTCGCCCTGGGACCGGGCACGTCGCTTTAATAGACCAGTGGTGGAAATGATTTTTTCAAATGATCCGATGGCCGAGGTATTTCTTGGTACTCAATCATCGCAGGATGCTGAGCTACCTCTTCACCAAGCGGTATCCTATGGGTCGGTAGATGCTGTCAAACGGCTTCTCGGACAAAGGGCCTGAGTTTGGATATCTAGAACCGCAATGGCTATACGCCGCTCTATCTCGCCATTCGAAACAAGCGCCTGGAAATGGTCAATTTGCTCCTAAGTCACCCCCATGCTAACGTGAACTGCAAAGACAAAGATGGCAATACGCCACTTTGGCTGTCTACTTACTCGTTATGCGACGAGATAACCGAAAGGCTGTTGGCCGAGAAAGATATTAACGTCAATTTTGTTAGAGGCCGCGGGAGATTCGAGACGCCGTCTACATCTCTCCACCACGCCGCGGCCAGGTTGGATACCGTGCTGCTACGACGGCTGCTTGCGGTGCTAGGGATCAGTCTGAATCTCTGTGTTGGAGGCCACTCTCCAATCTCCCTGGCCGCATATCACGGACGCGTGAAACGGTTGATTGTCTGTTAAGTGTGTAGGGCGTGGAGATTAATGGAAGGGATGTAATAGATCCGCCCATTTGTCGAGCGGTTGCACATGGTCATCTCGATGTGATAAGTCTCTTGGTGCAGCAAGACGCATGTCTTAACATCAATGAAAGCATGATCGCAACTCACGACACTGCTCTCTGCATTGCCGCCGGTTGTGGTGACTTAGAGATGGTCCAGGCACTACTAAGCCATAATCGGATTGATGTGAACCTCAGGAATCAATGTTCTGAGGATCCATTGATGTTGGCGGTCAGGGGCGGGCATTCCTCGATTGTTAATGCACTTGTGGTCAATCCGAGACTGACATACTTCAGTTTGGCAAAATCCCTGCATCTAACAGGGAACGATTGTATCCAGAGGGCCGTTCGAAGCAGAATGGAAGAAGCCAACACTCCGCAAAGATTGCTGAAGCGGTCTCCGGGGAGAAGGTTTGGTGGTCTGGATGAGCTGGCGACATCTACTTCGGGTAGCTGTCGTGATGCAATGCGGGACGGCCAAGTTAATCGACACTTTCTCCGCTAGCTACACTGCCCACATTGTCACTGGATCCGTAGTTTTTTGTTGATAATGTATTGGTAATAAAAGCGATACTAGAACATGCGGGATTATTCGCAGAACATTCCACGAAGGCTACGCTATTCCAGATGTAAGCTGCTTTCCATGCGGTAATTCTCTCTCAATTACAATGTTGTCATATTATTGCCAAGTTGGAAAAGTAATCATGAATATGCAACCCTTCACCCTTCTCTTGCGTTGTCCAAGAACCCTGGTACATGTAGATTGAGTCTGGACGGGTGGTTCCAATCATCAAGTACGCAAGTCAGTCGACCCCGAGATGATTCCAGTGCCTGCTCAAAGAAGCGCAGCCGAGACAGCTGCTTGTCGTGGCGCAGCTGAAGTCCATCCCTCTCTTTAGTCAGGTGTCTGCTAACCTCCTTCAAGATCTGATTGCTCTGCTCTAGGTTCTGGCCATCTATGTGTTTGGACACGCACGACTCCCATAGGCGTCGAGAGAGTCCGACAACTCGAGCCGCAGGAAAGGCGAACTGGGACATCGTCGCGTTCGAGGTCTGCTAGCAGCTTTAAGGTAGATTGAAAGGGTTTGGTCACTATGGTATGTCTTGTTTCTGCTTCCTGCTGCGAGGGAGAGAGCTGTCATGGTTGGCAAGAGCATTGGAAGCTTGGTCGTTCCACTTACAAATGGAGAAAATTGATCAGGAATTCCCTGTAAATTGTGTTCATCACTAAGGATTTGTAATTTACTGGGCTGCTGCTATTCTCCTTCTCTTACTTGGCGTGGTGAGCTGTTTGATGCATCTATTTCGTCTGCAGGGAAATGCCAATTCCTGGTGGCTTTTATAGACTACGCAGAGGCTAGTAACTGTGTATGCAGTTTTACGGTCACCTCAACGGCGACTGAAGCAGTCAAATACTGAATGGTAATTTTCCACTACAGCGGGCTGTTGGTAGTCTATATGATGATGATAGTGATCAAGCCTTTCGGTGTCGGTGGTTAGTGAGTGTATCCCATATTCAGTGGTAAGTAACGATTACGTCATCATTTGGAATTATAGTCCAATAAACATCCAAACACGCTCATCCAGCACCTGTTGCCACATTCAGGTGCAAAGTCATTGGGATTGCTGCGGGCTCATTCAGGCTAACAGATAGCTTTTAAACGTGGGTAGTCATGTGCTAGAACAGTGTATTAGAATCTCTAGTACTCCTCCGGGGGTAGTCGATATAAACTAACATCAGTCAAACTTGATAGAGAATCGAAGAATTCCTGGCAGGTGAGGCACATATTATGCTCTCCTTTATCGTGCTGAGAAAGCTTGTTGGCTGTTTCAAATTGAATATCGCAGGAGATACAGAAGTCTGTTCTTTTCGCCTAGTCCTGTTGCAGGTGATTTTGGATTGTAGCCGAGGCCTTTCTTTCAAATGCGAGTGATGGGCGCATAAATACTAGCCTCCCATCAATAAATCAATAAATCCGATAAGTTTTTGTGCGACTCTTACTTAAGTCTATTTACATTCCATTGGTCTGCCCGGGGATACCAAATTGGTGTCAGCTACAAGGGGAAAAGGCAGGGATGGCGGAAACTGTACAATGACGCTATATTACAGAAATATTAAACACTGATTACTCTAGTTGTCTTGATACAGGGAAGGGCTCTAATCAAGGAAATTCGTCCAATCGCCCTCGCCCTGGTAGTAGTCCAAAGCCCGATTAGGGGATCGCCGGGCTGGTAAGCGAAGTATTCCGAGGGTTTTCCCAGGAGCATAGGCTGAAATGGGAAAATGATGGGTCAATTGAATAGCCCCACTGCGAGGTTTTCACTTGGATAGGGTCGAGACCGCTAGGCTGAAGGGTCACGTTGACTGCGCCAGTCCTTTTTTGATGGGCGATCTAAATGGAAAGGGTTGCACGTGATGGGATTAGCGTGTCGCAATTTATTGATGTAGCTTACTCAGGCCGCTCAGCCGTACACTCAGAGAGCACTCAGTGAGCAAATCAGGGTGCTCAGATGATGATCAGTGAGTGGATCAGGGGGCTCAGGGGATAATCAGGTGATGCTCAGTGAGCAGATCACGTTGATTATATAATGGCCCGTGATCAAGTCAGGATACTCAGGGACGTGCTCAGTTTTACTCAGTGATCAAAAAGCGGCAAGAGGTGAGCACTAAAGCGGAAAGGGAAAGGTCTCGAGTGTCAGGCATTATCCGGTACGTATGTACTTGGCTTACATGTGTAGCTAGAAGCTCTCTGTCACAGTAATTCAGGTATTTTAATTTCCTGCCAGCTTGAGCTCATCAATATTCAGACACCCTGGAAAATCAGACATCCGACCCCTGGCCATTACTATTTCCCTTCGCAAGCACAGCAAATACCTAGGTAGCCTCCCGAGGTCCAGGGGAAGTAGTGCCCTAAAATTTAAGCTTAATTTTATTCTGATATACCCAGGTCGCAATTCTCTTGCCCCAAGGTCCTCCAAGATCCTTCCGAACCGGACATCCGCTGTAATGCCTGCCTCATTTCAAGGTGCCGAGATAGGAGCAACTGAGTGCATGAGCACGAGGGAGGGCGACATCATTCCAAGCAAGAGTGTCCATAACCGATGGCGTCTGTTGTGAGGTTTCAAATAATATGTTGTAAGGAGGCATAACTACGTCATCGCATATATGGTGGAGAACGACAAAATATTGCGAACCCCCCACCTCTCTAATTTGCTTTCTGCAACAACTCTTGCTTTCGTCTAAAAATATGACCGCCTTCTCACCAATGGCGGACCCCCTCACTGTCCTGCCCCCAGAGATTGTCCTCCAAATCTTGCACTTCGCCCCCGTCTCCGCCCTTGCGTCCCTAACCGCGGCCAATAAGGCTTGGCACCAATTTATCGACGTCACTCACCAACACGCTATTTACACATCCGAAGCTAAAACCGCCCAGCCAATTGGAGGGACCCGCGATTTCTCCTTCCTCTCAGATACCAACAGCTATGCCAAAGTATTCGAGGGCACAGAATCATGGAAAGACCTGTGCAAGCGCCAAACACTGCTGGCCCGCAATTGGGCCAAGCCACATCCAGTGAGCCAGGAATCAGTGCTACAGATTGGCAATGATCCCGTTTGGCGATTCCGTGCCGACTTCAAGCGCCGCTTTTTCGTTTCCACTTCCCATGCGGGCGGGTTGAACGTCACTGATATGGACACGGGCCGTATACTCTGGCAACTCCCTTCGGTGCTGGACACCGACAGAGATGGAGTTCGCCCGCACGCACACTTGGAATATCAGGATGGAATGGCCGTGTTTGACAGTGAAGGAGACTCGCTGGAGGTTTGGCAGACGGACCATGAAGGTGCGAAGCGTGGAGAGTTCCGGCGCATCGCTACCTTGAACCATAATTGCCAGACGAGAGGGTTCCAATTGTCCTACTGGACCCTCTGTGTTGTTTCCAACGAGGGCCAGGGCTTTGTGTACGACATGACACAGCGACCTCCTAAGTTGACCACACACCTGAAGATTGAGGGAGGTGGCATTGGCCATCTGGACCAAAGCGAAGACATTGTGATTTATTCCATGGGACGAAAAGGCTATTTTGCCTACAATAAGGAGTCCGGTGCATTCTTAGGCACGCTGAAACCGTCGCAGTTGACGGAGAAATATCACGTCCTTCCTCCCGAAGCCGCCTCTGTCTCTACGAGTGCAGCACTACCAGGCGCTGCGCGAATTGGCCCAACACCTCAAGCCATCCCACCCGGGGCTTTCCGAAAAGATTGTTTGGTACCAATTAAGGTCGCCAAAGGTCCACTGCCACCACCACATGACCCAACTCACGTCCGGCACGGGGAGGACGAATGGGGAGCGGGAATGTTGAACGGTGATCTTTTCGTGGGCTTCTCTCGTGCTGGTCGCGTCTTTATATGCCCCGACTTCCGCAAGGCTCTCTGCGACGAAGCTAGTCTCGCAGCGAACAGCTCCGTTTTGGAATGTGAATCAGACGGGGCAAGTTTTGACCTTGGTGGCTGGTTATCAGTCCGCAACCACCGTGTAATGTTCGAAATTCAAGATCGGATATATGTCGTCGCCCTTGATGACGACAATAGGGTTCAAAATGTGGAGAGTCCTGCGCGTGCCTCGTACTCGCTGCTCACCAGCTCCGCGCCGCAGCTTGCTGTGCCGATTAGTTACATGGCGTTGGCTGATGATGCTATTATGACTACATACACCGTGAGCTCCTTTTTGACATCTATACAAAAGAAATACAAGCAAAACAGCTAACATCAGAAATCGCAGACCCTCGGTTGGCGAGACTCCAATCTTCCAGGTGGAATACCTCCACCGCAAGGCAGAGAGCTTCCTCGCGTCTTTCCTACAAAAGTCATCCGCATCCTCAGCCTGGCCCCTAACCTCTCTAACAAATCTTCATCTGCCTCCGGCGACACGGGTGAGCCTTCAACAGCAGATAACGGGGGCCTTGGTAGTTCCGGTCCACATTTACCATCTGCTGACGCTTGGCGCACACAGGCCGGCTTGTTGCACTTGCTTAGCATGCTTGGCGAAGTGGTGGACTCCGACCAGAGCGATGGCGAAGATGAATGGGAAAGTATGGATGAGGATGGAGAGGGAGAGGAAGAGGAGAATTAGTACGAGCAGCCGCCTGTGCCTGATGGGCCTATATATGCTGTTGACCAGGCCCCAGCACAAGTGACCTCTGCTGTGGAGATTGTGTGTTAGTGCCTTGTTACTTCTGGCACCGAGGATCATGCACTCCCCACCACTGATTTTCTGCAGTCCATCATATCACTAACGGCTGTATATGTTATAGCATCCTTAAACATGAGACACCGGAACAGATGGAAAACGATGTGATCCCATGACACAGGTGGTAGACAACTTGACAGAAACAGTGGCATGAGGAAGGTATGGGTGAATCTCAATCGCAGTAATTTCTCTAAAAGCCAAACCATATGATACCTAGGTAGCTACATTGCCAGCTCACAGACCTCGGGAACTGGATATCGTTAAACTGAGCGGGTCATCTTTTGCATAAGGCCGGCCCACAGCTCATTATTGTTGATTGGCCCATCGGCGTTAGGCCCAACCTGACCCGCTTTTATCGGCGATAATTATGTACATATGTAGGCATAGACGAAAACGGAGATAGAAACAGAACTATGATTGGGAATTGTTCTGCTGTCCATTGATCCAATGCGTCATAGTTGCCATAGGGCCGACAGCAAACCATCGGAGGTGCCCATGGCCATGGCATAACGCCGATGACTCTGGGTTATTTAAACCTGGCGGGTTTCGTCGCTTTAAGAACATCAAGATCTTCGCAGTCAAACTTCATAACCAGTCCTCATTCAATCGAACTCAAAATGCCCTCCCACGGTCAATACACCACAGAAAAGATCAATTATCCTTCTCATGGAGAGACTGTGAGTGGAATCCTCTTTCATCCCACAAATGTGACGAAACCACCCGGTGTTGTTATCACCGGTCCATATTCTTTTGTGAAAGAACAAGCACCGCTGCAATACGCAACCCGCCTCGCAGATGAAGGCTACGCAGCCTTGATCTTCGACCCACGCACTGTTGGTGAAAGCACCGGCCAACCCCGACGGCTGGAAAATCCGAAAATGAAAAACGAGGACATGGTCGCAGGACTTGACTACCTATCGGCACGCGGCGATGTCAATCCATCCCGGCTCTTCTTAGTCGGGATCTGCCAGGGTGGCCCCGAATCACTGGATGTGGCATCGTACGATGGCCGGGTTGCAGGCGTTGCCTCTATCTCGGGATACTATCGAGACCATGAAACCGATATCTACATGATTTGCGCTGGGTGTGTCGCATGGACGCCAGGCGCGGATATTGCGGCGATGAAAATGCCCACTCCCGAACAGGGAGAAGCCCTGTACAGAGCACGACTTGAGCGGGCTAAACAAGCCCGTGAACTGTACGACAAGACCGGGGAAGTAGTGTACCAGCCGCTGGTTGATCCGCAGCCCGCTGACCCTGATACCGGCTCACTGGCCGGCCTTCCAGGGCCAGTCGTTTGGTCCTGGTATGGACCGTGGACACTGAAGGGATTTGAAAACCGATACGCAGTGATGAGTGACCTGGACCACTTTGAGTATACCACCGTTCCTGGCGTAGCGAAGCTGAACAAGCCGGCGCTGCTGATCCACGGCGACAACTGTATGAATGCGGCGGCTGCTAAGCGCCACTACGAGTCAATTCCCACAAGTCAGAAAAAGTTGATCTGGGACAACGAGGTTTCCCACTTCCAGCACTATGACCAGCCGGATTGTGTTGATCGCAATGTGGGGGAGATTGCGGCCTGGTTTGCGGAGATCAAATAGAATGCAATTGACGACAGGTACCTTTCAATGATCAAACTGGTTCATCAAACTCCAAAAGCTGGCGTCTGAGAAGGCGCCTTCAAAATTCCAACTATCTGTAGCGTTAACAATAAGCGGGTCCAAGGGCAAATTGTCTGGCGTATCCATGAAGGGGACTTGTGCACTTGAAATTTGATCAAAGAACAGGTCATGCGTTGGACGCGGAGGTAGAACGGTATCAAAAGAGAGTTCTGACGGGGCCCCATTCGAGGGATCTGTATCGCTGTTGGGAAAGGTCCACTCTGAGTTGCTGGAAAATGCTCTAGCGTCCTCCTCGGTTTCGGAGATGCTGAGCCGACGTCTTAAGCGATGGTACAAGCTGCAAACAACATCATGTGCTGACTTTGCCATGGAATTGGATTGACCGATGATGTCCAGCCTTTGTAATCCTCTTTCAACGACGTTGATACACTCTGTTAGTCGTTCTTGATCCTCATTCGGAAAGACGAGACAGAGTGCTGCAATGAGAACAATCGCATCGAAGGAAGCGTATACCGGATTAAACACCTTGCGCTGGTGCGGCTCTGATTGTTGAAATAGTCGTTCCTGTGCACGAAGAATGGATATTCCAGCTTTGAGGGCTTCTGTGCGGCTGTTGGCAACAGAGAACATGAAGGGTCGATGAAGTGCGAGAAGAACAAGGTGGATGAGTGAGGACAGTCCTTCTCGGGCAACTGGTAGCCATTGACACTCATGTAATCGATCAAACTTCGTATCTGGGTCTTCCAGACGGCACCAAGAGGGTAAAAGTTCTGAACCTTGCTTGATTGCAACGTGAATGCGTTCCACGGTGGGGTAGTCTTGGGAGTTAGCACCGTTATATTCCATTTGGTGAATGTCCTTGAAATATCGATAGGCCACATTATAGCCGGCGAGGATGATATCAAACGGTCGAGGGAGATCAGTCTCGGTTTGCCAATGCGAGAATAATTCTCGGCGCCTTTCGTCGTCCTCTATAGTGCGAGCGAAGCGATCTATTTGGAGATCGGTGGCAATTGGTCGACCGAGAACGACAGCCATGTGAACGTCCCAAATATGCAAGACCACCCAAATTCTGTGACCAACGAGACTGATATTTTGTTTCTCGCGCTTCGGCCCAACTGGGGATTGCTCGGGTACAATTCGCCCCGTATGTAGGCCAATTTCCTGTGCATCGCGGATTGTTGCCCCAAGTGCATGCCATGCTTCAACAACTTTGCCACTACTTTTCAAAAACGAGGCTCGTAACAAATCAGCTTGTACCAAGGCGATTGTGATATCCTTCTTTCCCAGAAGTGCGAGTAGCTCGGCACCTATATCGCTATATTCGGCCCCAAGATCGTGGAAAGTCATATCAGCCATGGTGAGAGAATCGATCATTTCATCACGAGGAGGGTGAAAGAGAAGCGCGTGTGCGAGGACTTGAAACAGTAGCGCTGGAAACACAAGGGTTCCTAGCGCCAATCTCCCGAAGCCCACTTGAAGGTCAGAGTATGAGATCTTCCCCCATGCGTCTAGGTGCTCCCTAAACGATCCCTCGTCAAGCAGGTCATACTGCCAATTGATGTCGGAGAAAAACGTTTGGACCAAGATGTCGATGCAGGCAGGAGGAGGCAGCTGGCGAACTAATTCCTTATACTTACGGTTTGCATCGCTTCGGAAAGGAGGCTGGTTGATGGCAGGGGAGTTGGACAAACTAGTATCCTGACCTCCATACGACTGTATGGTCCGTAATAGGCTCATGGAGTTGTGATTGCCGTGGCTAGAGTATCCAAAACCTCGGATCTTGTCTTGAAACTCGCTTGCCGACTCAGGGCCCGGTCTAGCAGGTGGGCACAGATGCACCATATTGGTGCTACAGCTGGTTTCCGAGGTATTGATCTCACCGGAACTCCTTCGCGCGGCTTGGCAGCCTTTCGGTTCAGCGTCATATTGGCAAAGATCCTGCGGTTGCCAATCAGACCAAAGGCAATATTGCGTTTAGAAGTATAAATACCTGCGTTCCTCGCTTGAGGCAGTTGCAACATGGATACTGGCGGTCACACTATCCAATCTTCAGTATATTTCTTACTAGCTCTTTCGCGGGGTCCCTACCTTTTGCTTGCGCCGATGGCATTCGGTACAGGACATGACAATTCTCTTCCTTTTCTGAGGTTTACGTTGTCCACTAATAAAGTGTGTCTTTGAAAGGGGTAGTGTCGCCATATTGGACATCAAGCAGTTCTTAGATAGTGTTACTCGGCAGGATATATGTTAGGGTATGGAGAGGCAATGAGGGAGGAGCGTATAGGCGTTTCGTGTAAAGTACAGTATTATACGTAATGCGGTCTGGAGATCTACAGTCACGGTGTGTCGAATACCAAGGTGGAAATACATGGCTGAGACAAGGTAAAATACCTAGAAAGTCATGTGACCGATCGTACCATACCATATAAAGGTTCATGTTACCGTCAGTCATCAATACCACTGAGGTTACCTATGCATTGTCGTACCGCAGATTTCCGTCAGAACAGTCCTTGACAGTGATCATCAAGGAATGTTGCACCGCGCTGCCTAGGTGCTATCTTCATCGCCAGGACCGAATTCCATTGATCCAAATGCGATACCGATAATCTTGGTAAATTTATGAGTGGCGACAAGCTCGAGAAGGGCTTTGGGCTTCTTCCATTCAGGGGCGTGTTTCCAGAACTTCAGAGTAGTTTTGAGTCTCATCCACAGCCACGGGGTCATTAATGTACTTGGTGGAGATGGGCAGCTTGGTGTCGCCCGCGGGTACTTGCATAGAATGCTCAATCTGCAACGGAAAGGAGGCTTCCATCAGATTTAATATCCCTTGACTTCACTGACTCAGTGAGCTGTTCATAGCATAGATATCGGATCTTTGGTTCCTCCCTGCTGTGGTAAGTATATGTTAGCAGGTTCACACGCCAGAAGAGCCCTGAAGGGACATCGTTAACGACTCACATATTCCAGTCGTCGTTTTTCCTCGCCCTTAGAAAAAACTATCCAGTAATCACTTTGTAATTCCTTGAGCCGCTGAGACCCTTGACAGAGACCAATTGCTTTTGTCCATTCTTCTTCTTCGATTGTTGCGCCGGCGACTCAGTTGGTTGGAGACGCTCTCCAGATCTTTCTTCGTGAAGAAAGGCTTATTACTGTCATACCATGTCTGAAGAAGCTCTATGGCTCTATCCAAGCTGTACGGCCATTCTTCGAGGGAACGAGTGCCCAGCTCGGGATCTCCATGGAAAATGTACAAGTGATGCATCGTTACATGGAGCATTCTAGCCGGGAGATATTGATAGGAGTGCGTTCTCCACATATCGGTGCTTTAGCCTTTCATGTTCTTGCTCAAGATAGGATACGGGCTATCGATGGCTCACGGCTCAGTATCGGGGCTTGTCATCAATAGACGTTTGGGATCATTTATCCCATGGCGTCGGGCCAGGTGGGCCTCCGCAGAGTCATATTCGAAAACCCCTTCGAAGAGCGCGGGGTTGTTAGTCCAGCCTTTCTGGATGTCTTCAGCCTAGACAGCTATTTATTACACTCAACGTTATAGTAACTAGGTTATAGAGTACGATTTACTGGTGTTTCCATGATGAGATCAGAGTTCTTGAGACTGACGCAGACGCTGAGAAATTAGCTCTTGTTTAGATAACTAAGGTTAGGACGGGTGTTATCATACCACAAACTATGTTAAAGGATGCTTTGAAGTGATTTCGATTATTGTGTGGTTGTATTGTTGAAGAGAAAGAGAAGCTTGCTATCTGATTCTGGTGTGGTCAATCTAGTTGGGTCAGTAATACCTAGGTAGGTAATGAGTGAATGCTGACGAAATCAGATAAGATGGGCCTGGATTTAGTATATAATTCTAAACTTAATGTTGGTGAAACCAAATCGGAAGCAAATAATATGCCAAAGAAGCTTAGATTAAACGTCACTTTCTTTAAAAGCCGTCCCAGATTACAGAAAGGCGATGAGCATCCATGTCAGTGCCCAGCTCGGATATCGCACAACTGCCCAGCTATTGACATTCCCCGGGGGTATACCATATGTTGAAACCACATGTGCCTCGCGCTTCCCGTAGAGGGCATCCGCAATGTCGCCTGGGTATCATCTTCAAACTCATCATCAAATTCAATACGCGCACTTTGCAGTGCAATCTCTGCGATACCATGGTCAAGTCAGTGGCTTCTTCCTCTGCCGCTTCGTCCTTGTGGTTCCCTGCAGATCCTGTTAGACTGTCATGATCCGGTTCTCCATCCGGGTCAATATACGATCACCGCCATGAAGAGAAAAAGCCCTCTTGACCGAGAATAAAGAACCATGCCGACGAGAGCTGTGGTCATTCTAGAATCAATTAGAATTGCCAATGCTACAAAGAATCTAACCATGTAGGCACCGGTCAGCCAACAAAATGCGGGATACATTTCATGGCAAGTTCCGCAAACAATACAACAGGCTGCTCTCTAACAAGGAATTCACAGGACCGCAGGAGGGATAAATAGTACCAGTTCACAGCATGATTGACGAGGGACATACACAACCGGTCCATCATGGTTCGTAGCTTTTCTGAAGAAAAGGAAAGTCCTTCGACTCTAACGACACAGCCAAGTGCCAATACCAGGATATCAACACGTACTTCACGGAGGCGAATATGCTCGATGAGCCGGAAGCGGCACGGGTCCCAGACGCAAATGCAACGGGGCAGAATGTGTCTGAGATCGTGCTGTTCACCTACAAATCCGCCAACGATGAGGTGAGTCCGATCAATGACACGGATGCCCTGGTCGCTTTCTACTGTGACTCCGGCGCGAGAGTGGAATATTTGCGGGATGAATTGTCATATCATGCGATAATGGCGCTGACTGGTGTCCCCGATCTGCTGTTGTGGTTGCAGGATCTCATGAATGGAGTTCCTGTTGATGACGGCTGCACGACGAAAAACGTCTCACAGGACTGACGGAGCTTAGAGCCATACTTGGCTTGGTACTAAAGTGATCCAGATCCTGCTGGCCTTGTTGTCGGAACAGTAATTGAATGATTTATAGTTATCATGTTAAAGTTTGCATGCCAAGGGAGAGTATATTCTGAATGAAGTATCACGTTCAATTCATGCCCGCAAAGTCTCCTCGACATGAACGTCCTCCGCCTTCTCATTATGACACTGATCAAGCTGCTTGTGAACAGCGGCAGCCACTTCATTTGCCTTTTCCTTGCCCTCGAACACTGTATCTGTTAGTTGTGTCTCAATACCTGAGAGCTGACACTTACTGAAAGACAACTCCTCGAGAGTTCTGCCCGACGTCTCGGGGAAGAACAGATAGATAAACACTATCTCAAAAGCCAACCAGCAGCAGTACACTAGCAGCCACTTCCAGCTGATATTTTTCAGGCCGACCGGGTTCACATAAGTTGCGAAGAAGCTCGCGCCCCGTCCGTAGAACTGGAACCACGAGATACCTCTGGAGCGACCAAAGTAGGGGAAGATTTCAATCAGGTAGGCTGACCAGTCAGCAGGTATCATCTTGAAAAGGGAAAGACTTACTGTATGTCAACGCGTTGTAGCCGAGGTTATAAGCCGGCGAATAGCAGAAAATGAAGAGAATGGTCAGGATGGCCGCAGCCTTGGCGTGGGTACTCATGAAGCGTTCCATGGAGATGGTCCAAGCGACATAAACGCAGAGCAACGAACAGGCACAGGTTAGGTACATTGTCCGTCGCTTGAATCGAGGAGCGGTCAGCGCCAGCGTCGTACCGCAGATGAGACCCCAGCACGCAATGCCGATGTTGATCTTGGACTTAACCACTCCGTCGGTGATGTTGACCATTTCCAGGAGGTCACTCAAATAATATCTGGATATCATTAGCAAATTTATCAATGGACGAAGAGCAAACATACGAGATTAAAGTATTGCCCGACCACTGGGTGAACAATCCCAAAAAGGCCGAAATGAGCAGCCGACGACGCATACCGGCGGTGCGGAACATATCCCACCACGTCTGCTTGGCCTCTTCGAGTTCGAGCTTGATGGTGCGTTCGATCTGGGCGATTTCGGCTCGCACGATAATCGAGCTGCGATCTCCCTCGGCGTGGTATTTGGTCAGGACGTTAAAGGCCTCCTCGTGGCGATCTTTACTGATCAGATACCGGGGGCTTTCAGGAAGGAGACTGCACACTGTCAGTCCTGTCAGAGACAATAAGATACAACCTACAAGATGAAAACAATCTGCACCATCGCCGGTGTAATCTGAAGGAGCGACGGAATTCTCCAGGCCCAGTCGGTTTTGATGGTCACCGTTCCCAAGCCGACGGCAGCAGCGATAATCTGGCCGATAAAGTACGAAGAATTGAACAGCGAGGTCAGAATTGGTCGTTCCTTCGGGTATCCCAATTCACCAAGAAGGGAAGATCCGGCAACGATGCAAAAGGGAATGCCAAATCCAAGGACGATACGCGCGACGACGTACATGCCGACTACAGAATTAGCATATACAACTGATTAGAGGTGGATACCATACCTCCGTTGGCAAAGCCTTGCAGAAGAGCACCCACGAGGCTGACGCAGGAACCAAACATAATCGTCCATCGTCGTCCAAATCGCTGGTTTACCCAGGGGACAAAGGGGAGGGAGAGGATGGCTCCGAGAGAATATGCGGCCCCCAGGAACCCTTTGAGATTTGCTTCTATCTCATACTTGGGTTGACCGTTGACAACAGCTCCGGTCGGATCACCGAAATCTAGACATGTCAGCAGTATTCGATTGTAGTATAACGTGAGGTGAGGAATACATTTGTTCCACGTGTAGACGATCTGCACAGTATTGATGATCTGCGAGTCGAAGCCCGAGGTAATCTCAATCCCCATGCATGCAGGAAACAAAATAAGATACAAGTACCTCAGATTAGGCTTCTTGTACCAAGGAGTATGATCGTCAGCCAGCAAGTTGGCCAGGACGGGCTCCGCGACGTCTTCCTCACGATGCTTTGGCACTACAACCATGTTGATCGATGTCGTATAATCGATAGTGCTGAGGGCTTGATGTTGTCAGATGGAGACGGCCTTCTCTGGCTATATGTAGAATCCCCGTCATCGACATGTCTTACGCCAGGACGGACTGGTTTCCAGCCGCGACGACCTGTTGATAGCTCTGACCGGAGCCTTGGCCCAAGATGCTCCTTGATGGAAAAGGCATCCTGCAACCCCCACGTCCACGACACGGGAACTCTGGTTATATCCCACACCAATGGAATGTCGAAGTGAGCATGTTTGAATGCTGTCAGCATACCTGCCAAGGGTGGCCCAAGGCCTCATGTGGGGGGTTGCTGAGACAATCCAACGAGCTCACGAGGGATTTGCAGTTGCAGTTGGTTTAAAGAGTCAAAAGGTCATCACATGCCCCACGTTTACCCCGGATTTAATGGCCTCAACGGCTAATGGAAGTGGCTCGATTCAGGAATTGATTGACCCCCCACACTGCCCAGCCTGGGCTTTGGATAAATGCATCGTATTTATCCGGTGCCAAGCATCGCTTCTCTCCCTTCGCTGAGGTTGCAGTCGGACTGAGAAGACTGCGGACGATTGCTATGATGCTATCTATACACCACTCCAGTATCTCGTCTGGTACACCCTAAACTCTCCTCGAGACACAATTTCCTGACTCGAAGTCCCAATCAGCACGTGATAGACGCCCTCTTCGCTCTTCCACATATCCTCGATCTCGTCCCAGAAGCTGGTCGCGTATTTGTCGACGTGGATGTCCACTGTTTTCTCCTCTCCAGGTTGTAGGAACACTTTGGTGAATCCGTGCAGTTCCTTGATAGGGCGTGGAGTTGCTGAATGGGGCGCGGCAATGTAAAGCTGTAGGATCTGCGCTCCTGCCACTGGACCGGTATTCTTGACTAGAACTCTGGCAGTGGGTGGCGTGTCCGATGAAAAGATACTCGGAGATACAGACGCATGAGGAGAGACACTGAAGGTCGTGTATGATAAACCATGTCTGCGTTCATCAGTATGAGTTTGGTGAGTAAGATGATGAACCTACCCAAACGGAAACAGGACCTCGCGGCCGACTTTGTCGTAGAATCGATATCCCATATATACATCCTCGCCATAGAGCACTCTACCTCCCACGCTCACGTAGTTCAGGTACGCGGGATTGTGCCTCACATCCACCGGCCAGGAAAGAGGCAATTTCCCACACGGGTTGACATCTCCAAATAGGACATCGGCAATGCCATGGCCAGTTTCATTGCCTCCATACCATGCCTGAACAATCCCTCTGGCTCGATCCGCCCACGGCATGGTAACAGGAGTTCCGGATTGGTTTACGATGACAGTCTTGTCAGCCGCCACGTCAAGCACAGACGAAATCAGCGCGTCAATCCCCGGAGGAAGGTCCATATCCGGACGGTCGAATCCTTCTGACTCCCAGTCTCGGTTGAGTCCTGTGCACAGGATTGTATAATCCGCCTCGACAGCGACCTTGACCGCATTGGTAACCATCTGCTCTGGGTCCATGTGTGGACACGCGCCGAGATGGGCGGCGCCGCCACCAAAGTGGACCACGCCAATAGCTTTCAAAGGACTGGTGTTGGCAGTGCCGAAGTCGATTCGAATTTTATATGCCTGCCCGGCAGTGAGCTGCTTCGACCCGACCTCCTGCACCGTGCCCTTTCCAAAAAAAGCCGTTCCGCGGGTTTGGCGGGTGCTGTTGTCGATAACCATCTCATCGTCAATGAAAAGCGTGGCCGTACCAAACACAGTGAGTCCAAAGTCCCACAGTCCAGAGACATCTGGTGTGAACTCTCCCATTAGGGTAGCCCAGAACAGACCTCTGTTGAGACCAGGAGCGTTGTAGTCCATCAATTGAAACGCCGTATTACCCACCGATTCTGTCGCCAGTAGTGTGCGTTCCTTTTCCGGCGGCTCATTGTAGAAGTGGATGACGGCATTGCCGAGCATTCGATCAATGACAGGAAGCATCTTGTGAGCATATGCGCCCGCCTCATAGAGAATCTTGGCATCTGGAAGGGCTTCGACGACTGCCTCGTATAAAGAGACAGTATAGTATGGTTCAAGGGAAGCACTACCGCCGCCTGAAATAGCGGGAGTCTTCACATGAGACCCTATCAGCGCGATTTTCTTGACTGTCTTAGGAAGCGGGAGCAGTTTGCCCTCATTCTTCAGCAGAACGATACTGTTCGCGCACAGGGTCCGGTTCAACGCCCTGTCTTCTAGGAGATCACGACCAGTTTCCTCCGCTGACACAGGAGCGCGGCTGGCTCGTTCAACAAACTCTAGTACCTTGCGAGCACGCTTGTTGATCGTAGACTGTTTGATCAATCGCGCCTGCATGGCGGATTCTATGTACTTTCCACGATATCGCGTCGGACCCGGCATCTCGAGATCTAGACCGGCATTCATCGAGTCGATGGTGGTGTATGTTCCTAACCAATCGCTCATGATCAAGGGAGCCCAGTTCCAGTCTTTGCAGACAATATCCAACATGGCGGGACTCTCGACAACGTGCTTGCCATTGATTTTGTTGTATGAAGTCATCAAGGCTCCCGGCTGGGCGTCTCGAGCAACAATCTGGAAGGGACGCAGGTAGATCTCCCGAAGCGCTCGCGGAGTGACCAGCACATCGACGGCACGGCGCTCATGTTCCTGATCATTTCCGACGTAGTGCTTGACCGTGGAGATGACCCCTGTACTCTCGCAGCCCAGGATGATCGACTTGGCCATGACCCCCGAGAGATGGGGATCTTCCGCGAACGATTCAAACCCGCGGCCTCCCAAGGGCGACCGCTGCATGTTGATCGTAGGACCCAGCCAGCAATGCGCTCCCTTGGTGAGACATTCTTCGCCAAGCAGGACACCGGCTTGATGCAGCAGGTCACAATCCCAGGTGGCGCCTAGGGCCGTGCCACAAGGGAGACAGGCAGCGGGTACACCGGCAAAGAACTTGGTGCCACGGATACCATTGGGTCCGTCAGTGGTACGAATTGAAGGCACATTGAAATTGGGGATGGAATGAGTGTGCCAAAAGTCACTTCCTATTAGTCTTTAGCGTTGCTCTGGCTAGTAGTTGGATCAATAATAGGTACCAGAGAGAAGAGCGACCTTGTCGTCCTCGCTGATATTGGCTAAAACATAGTCGACGTCGAATTTGGGCGTCATCTTCAGTTGGTCGTCATGGATTGTTGATTTTGGCATGATCTCGGACAAGCACAGCTACGGTAAACAGAAAAGTATAGTATGTTTAAACAAGCTGACGGTCTTCACGGCCCTCGAGCCGAATTCCCGATTGGGTGCGGGACCAAATCCTTCAACAATACCCTCAAGGACTTGGCAACCCCCACGCGAAGTGGGTTTATCTTATTGGAAGAGGGACTCGTGGTCTCAGAGATGACTCTTTCTATCGGTTAAATTAATTTCACCCCTGAAAGTTGCAGAGTTGAGTCTGCAAGCTGACATTCTGCCAAGCTCGATAGCTGACATGAGATCTTAGCCTGGTCAACTCAGGAAGAGTGCTTACTGACTCATTTCGCTGCTTCGCTGTCATTGCCTAAGTAATGCATGCGGATTTACTCTAGTAGCCATTGTGATCGAATGTGTCCTACTCGATTGCTGTACCAGGCATGGGTGTCATTTCTATTTCCATTGATAGTACGATGATCTCAGTCAGAATATCATGCTATAAACACTATTGAGACCAAGGCTCGAGATCTCGGTCCCTAGGAAGCCCTACCCGATGCCAAATTTCCTCTATTCAAGTCATGGTCCCAGCATTGGTTTCTTCGGGCCGTTGTTGCTCGGTACTTTTAGTTCAGGTGCCAATACGGTAGCGAACCAAAGCAAAATTAGGCTACTGAGCGGTGCACTTCTCGGTCAATGTCGCTGAGTTATCATGTCCATGCGGACGTCGAGGTGGACGAAAATGCCGTCGTCACAGTCGACAAAACGATCCTTTATACGAGCATCTATGGACAATGCGGTATCTTGGGAGGCTACAGAATCTTCCGAAATTTCGCGCAGATGGGAAGACATTGTTGGTATTGTTGTTGTTGATGTTGATTTTGATGTAGTTATTGTCGAGAAAAAAGAAACCTGGAAACTATGCGACCCTAGATCAATCCTCTATATCCATATTTAAGAGCGCTAAGGCTACCTACCTAATTAGGCTTAGTACCCCTCTACATTATAACCTTAATTTGCATCCGAAAGTGGTCAGGCTCATCTTCCACGTGACATATAATACTACAGGAATTTAATGTAGGACCGCCTTCTATTTTAACCTCACTTTCTATATGATAACACTATAAAGATGGGAAATTTGAGCTTTCCTATGGCGGTTGCGAATGGTAATGGCAAACTTCGCATTCTGGTCAAGGACGACAATTATTGGTAAAAGGAAGGGCAAACCGCCTGGGTAGGTTGGTATCACGATGCCAACGGATCGGATTAACGCCAGCCTCGAGTGTGTTCTCCCTAGCCGCATTGTGTCTACCTCAAATCGAGTCATGAACACTATTCTTTGAATACATATGAGTTTATGTGAATAATTCTTAAAGCGTATAAACGAAATAGAACCAAAAGTCGCTCCATCATGGGTATCCTCAACGTCCATAAACATCAACATAATCATAAAGCAAAACGGATATACCCAGATCAATATGACATCGAATCTCAAAAATATTATTCCCAGATTTTCCAAAAAATCAAGCAAGTTGTCGCTCAATATTGCGGGGCCCAGCCAGAAGCGACGGCGGAATCGGAGGGACGGGGCCACTGTAAACGGGCCCATGGGCTTCTCGGGAGCCAGGAGGGGGTGGAGGTGGAGGTGGAGGACGTCCGTAAGCCGGGTGATGGGCATGAGGGTGAGGATAATGGTGGGGATAGGGTGGTACAGGCGGACCGGGGGAACCTCCAGCTCCAAAAGCCAAACGGCCAAAGTCCCCTGGAAGCCGCTGAGCCTGGTAGCGGTATTGAGCGGACTGTTGGGAGTTAGGGTCGACGTAACCCATGGATCGGCTCGGGTCGCCGGGAAGGGAGACGACAGAGGCGCGGAGTGTGCGTGCAATATCATCGAAGGTGACCTCCATAGGGGAAATGTAGGTGGTGTTGCTTTTTGCGGACCAGGCAAGAACATGGCCGCAAACACGGCCGGTAGGACGGTCGAAGACCCATGCACCGGAGTCTCCAGGGGCTGTCGAATTGAGAGAGATTAGCTTCATGAAATGTTTACTCGATACGAGCCGATGCCTTAGAATGGAATGGTGCTGTATGTTTACCAGCTAAGAAGGGTAACAAGTGACGGGCATGCATGACAAAACAACAAAAAGGGTATCTAATTAAGGATCGTATAGACAAAAACATGGATCCGCTGAAGTGCACCTCTTACCTCCGAAGTTCCCATTGACGCAAAAGCTGGTTGAGAATGAATGCCGTCCCTGAAGCTTGACCAATGTCATAGCCTTGGATATCTGCCCTGTTTGCAGTCCACTTGTGCGGCCACAGCAATGAACTTGCAAACCACCTAGCTCCTCCATCCGGGCAACCTGGTTCAGAAATATGGGTTGTGGCGGGATAGGGCGACCTGGACGAGCGATACTGGATCTGGTAGTATCTAGAATGATGTTGCGAGGGTCCATGCGGGCTTCATCGACTTTGATGAGCGCCCAGTCGATCTCATGTTTCAGACCCTTTCGGGTCCAACGCCGCACTCCAGATGATGCGTGGACATAACCTAGGGAGTGTGAGGCTAGGTGCTCGTCATCGCGATCTTCTGGAGATGGAAAAAAGTCTTCATGTACGTCGTCAATGGCTGGTTGGGTGACAAGCAGCCGAGGTTCTTCGCCTGGTTCGATACCAGCAGTATCGCCTATGGACGCGGTATCATCGTCATCGTCATCAGGGCCGACGGAGTCATCATCTGATGAATCTTCATCTGAAAGCCAGAATTCATCATACCCAGAGTCAAGGCCTTGTGAGGGATCGTCTCCATCCTCCAGATCGGAAATTTCGAACTCGAAGTTCACGTCAGGTGAGTCATCCTCTGGATAATCGTACCTGAATCCAGGATGTGGGATATTTGATGTATCACGGGGCCAGTTTCCCGCCGACCTGGAAGGGGCGTCTTGGTTGGAGGTTCCGGGGCCACTGTCTTGACCCTCATCTTCGCTAGGAGCTTCCAACATATGATGGACCGTTAGGCCATACGGTAAGCCATCGACGATGACGGCACCGCCATATGAGACAGGGGGTAGGTGCTCTTCGTTCTGAAAAGCACCGATAGATGCTCCGCACAGAGGTCGCTGCTGATGACATGGATTGAGCTCTCGCTGGCGAAAGGGTGTATCATTGGAGACATTCGGGCGAGCCTTGGCCGGCCTCCGGCGCCTGTTCCGGGGAACCTTGGACCGTTCGATATCACCACGGAGGACAATCAAATCCCAGTCATCCCGACCAAGAGCGAAGTGCTTCTTGAGGGCCATTCGGACTTTCTTCACACTGGCGCAAGTAACACAAATCGTCGTTTTGGCACTTTCAGGCGACTCGCCAGTCATGATGAGGTTTACTCCACATGACTCAGAAGACTCCTTCAAGATCTTCTGAAGAAGGCGACTCACTCGAGGCATTATTTGGAAATTCCACTCTTGTAGGTGCTCGTCCGGTATTTCCAAGTGCGGAAGTCTCTTGACGGTCCGTTTCTTTTGTGGCTTTTCAACGAGTTTGTCTTCGTTCGCGACGCTCCATGCATCGGCAGGAATTGTGGGAAGCTTCTTGTCATAATTAGACATCTCGCGCTTCGATGATTTGTATGCCCTGACTTTGTCCTCGATGGTGACCGGCTCGGGGGTGGGAACAAGGGCGAGTGGAAGGCAGTCATCCAATTCTTCTGCCGAGGGTGCCGAGAAGATATCAATCCGGCAACATGACCACAGTATCTTGCAGATTGTGTACATGAAATTCATTGAAAAAGAGAAAGTGCCATCTGGGTCCGACAGGTCGAGCACTGGGTAGTGGTAAATTTGCGGAACGCGAAGACCAAGGTCAGTCATCGGTTGTGTCGATAAATGGAAGTTGGGGGCGTCAAGGCACAACTGAACGGCTTGAAGATAAGCACCACCGCACTTTGGACCAAGTTTCTTCACATAAAGATCTTCCACGCGGTGCTTGAACCACGAGCGGTCGTACTTCATCTTCCAAAGCCGTCCAACCGGTGCCCACAGGCCTATCTCTAATAGAATGAGGCCTAGCGAGTAAAGGTCATAGGCCCACGCGCCATCATCCTCTACACATCTCTTGTCCTCCGGGTGACGATACATTGCCGAAGACAACGGCTCAGGGGTTGGTCCATCCCCAGAGAACCGTGCCGGAGAGGTGAGATAAGGACGGCGAAGATCAGGTGCAAGACCACTTTCATCATCACACGCATCACTTCGACCCGGGAAAAAAATGACGTTGCTGCTGTTGATATTTCCATGAACGGCATTTTGACTTCTCAAGTGGAGAGCGGACATTAAGAGATCGTAAGCCAATCGAAAGCGGGTGTCAAGGTTTGGCACTCGATTCTCCCGGTACTCCTCTGCTGAAGGAAGAAGAGCGACCAATGGCTTAGGCTTCAATTCCTTCAATAAGTCACTCGGATTCTGTAGGAATGGGAAGTAATCGACCGGCATCTGATAAAGGAATGCATAGCGAGAATTCGAATTATCAATGCAGTAGCCCAAAAATCGCATCAACCCCAAGTGCGAGATCCTGGCGTTCTGTAGCAACTGCTCAAGAGACTGTTGGAGCTTTTCCAACCGAGCACTCTTATTATCCATTTTTGACTCCGCCAATATAGGCATAAACTCAACAAGCACGGAGACATGGGACTCTTTTGTGGAGGCGAGAAGATGCGATGCCGATGACTTCAGCCGTCCAATGGCACGCGAGTTGGAAGATGCCGCAACAGGTTCATAGGGAGGAGGGCTATTATCGTGCGCCGCTCCGTATAGTTGTAGAGCTGAGCGATCTATGAGGAGATGGTTCAATGGTAGGAATGAATTAAGGGAGTCACGGTGCGTGGTCGTGGGCGAGTAGGTGAATGTATCGAACATTTGCTTCGGGCTTTGTACTTTCTCCTTGGACTCGGAGAATGAGCCGTGCGATGAATCGTAAGGTGAGGTGAGGTTAGGTCGTTGGCGGCGCGCGCTGTTCCTGCTGGATGACATGCTGGAAGCCATCGTCCGCCGGGAGCGCGAGAGATCATAAAGGGTATCAATACAGCCAGTGAGTTCATTCAAAATTTTGTTTGAGCGAGTTATGTCTTCCTCCGTCCATTGCGTTTTAACAGGTCTGCTAGCAAGGGTATCCTTCGATGGTATATCAACTTTCCGTTCCTTGGAAGGGAGCATGGGCGCATCCACATGCTGGACTTGCTCAGCATCGTTGAGGAGTTCTTGGATTGATGACATGACACTCTCGACGACATCGCTGAAGCCTGCAGCAGTCAATGATTCATCGATGTCATTGGGCTGCGCGGCGCTTGCGTCGCTCCAATCTAGACCCCACGCCAGCAAGCGATCCCTCTGTTTCTGGAAACTCCCGTGGAGGGCGACGAGCTCAGGATCGTCCAGAGCCTTTGAGGCTGTCGTAACGCTCTCGCAGGAAGTTTTCGTATCGGTATATAATTTCGTGAGGCGCCGCTGGAGGAAGCCGCCTCCTCCATGTTGGAGGACTGACATCTTGGCGATTGCGGAGGGGATCGATAAGAATGACAGGTACAGTATCGAGCATTAGAGACAAGGCACTGCAGTGGTAACGTTCAAGAACACATAGTGAGAGTCGCTGGAAGGCAAATAATCCATCGGACAGGAGAAAAGGAATCGATAAAGACTTGCAAGAGCAGTTTCAATGGGTGCCTTGAGGATGGCGACGAAGGCCGATAACCACACAACGACGCATCGAGGGAATCCTGTTGCCTAACCAATAAGCGATCACGAGAGAGGCCAATAGTGGGGCCACGGGGCAGGCAGCAGGTAATGAATGTTTATATTACGGTATTACCAGTACCAATTACGTACATATAAAAACCATGCCCCAGGCATGATTCAAGCGAGGGGCAGGATGGGAGATAGAGTAAGTAATACTTGAATTCTAGTAATTTATTGGAGTTAAATGCACATACAATAGAGCTAATAAAAGTAAGAGAGTGCCATTGAGGCCGAAGCTATCACACACTCATCCATTTAGTCACCCTGTCATCACCCGCGACACACCAACATCCCGTGCTCGTTTCTCACTGAAATTGTGCAGTCTCTCTCCAATGAGATAGACTTCGTCGCGGATATTAGTGCGCCAGACCGCCACTCGTCTCAGTAGTAGATGTGCCATCCATACAGATAGCACGATCAAGAGTGTGGTCGGATAAGCATAACGGTAAATAGTAGGCTGCACTCCGATGTGGGAGTAGAATATTGTCCAGCGCACAATAAACCCAAATGACAAGGGTAAAGTGACCGCAGCTGCAGTAAAGAGAACGATTGGAAGAACAAGGGCACGAGTGGCAAGGCTCGCATTGGGCTTCAGCCAACCATCTTGGAATACACTGTTGATCGCAGCTGCCACCCAGGAATGAGGCTGCCAGAAAGTCAACTTGATGGCCATCTGGACATACAACACCCCGAGCGCCCAGTCCTGAACGACATGAACAACATGCGACTCGCCATCACCAAAGAGGGTGTGCGCTGGAATGAGAATGTATAGTTCGGTGAGCAGCGCGAAGAGTGACGGTAGAAGGATAATGGCAACTTGGGCCATGTAGAGAAGCCGAGCAGCATGCATCAGGAGGCCGAGACTCGTCTGTGCTGCTTGGTGCGGGGAACGAAGGTATGCGCCTGAATTCTCTCGCACGAAGTTGAGTGCGGTGCTAGAGTAATACGCCAGGTAGGCAAGCGCACCGACCACACAAAGACCACTTGAAAAGGCGTAGACGTCGTTCACCGGAGTCGGAGTAGAGGAGTAGGACTCGATGATCTTCCGACCAATGATCAAGGGAATAATAGTGACGCCTACCCCCGTGGTGGCGGCAAAAAGCCAGATTAGAAGAATAAAGGCAGCAATCCGAATCCGGAACGAGGGAGGGATGTAGACTTTGGTGAACATGTTGCTGGATCGGCCATGTAGCCCATCGGCAGCATCGGGCTTCCCATCAACACGTTCATTGTTCTCGGTGACCTCAAGGAAAACGTGGTTGCCTTTGGGAATGCGGACCTGATCAGAGCCAGGGGCGCGCACGTATCGACCGTCGCGCAGGAAGTAGACATCACGGTTTTCCCGCTCAGCTGCAGCCTGCTGATCATCTCCAACTACTGGGTGTTCCCAGTCACCCTCGCTTCTAGAGAGAATACCCCACCAGGTCTTCCGAACGTGGTAGCCTTCTTCCTCCAGGTGCCTTTCCGGGAAGAAAAAGTTGCTGAGACGCAAGAAATGAGCACACTTATGGAACCACCAGTCATATAAATCATGCAGACCATCAGAAGGTTTGAATGATTGAATGACTACAGGCAATACGAAGTTGTAGAATAGCAGATCAACTGGAAACTCGAGCATCGGGGCACTGGCCGACCAGTGAATTGGGAGAACACCATCGAGAGCAAAGTGCAAGCCCCAAACGACACCTCCTAGACAGATGATCACTAGCGCACCGTATACAAGGGCACTGAAACCGATCTTACGGAGCTGTGTAGTGATGCTGCGTTCGAGAACATCACGTATTGGGTGGAAAGTTGGATCATCTGGGTCACGAATGAAGTCTAGAGTCAAAGTCAAGCAGTCAGTAATCGATCAAGGTCTGGCAAATCGATAACAACACTTACAAAGCACCCCGCTTCTCAAAATCTTTCTGCACATGGAAACGAATAGGGCAAAGTGGAACATGTAACATGTGCCAACAAACCAGTGTACGAAAAGCGAAGTGAGCGGAGATGCAGCAGTAAAAGCGATACGCGAGGCCACTGTAGCGTCGGTGAAGAGCGGAAGTAAAGCAAGATCAAGAAGACTGCCACAATACAAAGGGAAAACAATCATCTCAATCCCGATGATGAGGATGACCTTCATAACTCCGCCGGCTTGTATCAGGACCTCAGCAAGCAGGCCCTCGATCCTTTGCCCCCGATTAGCACCAGAGAGCAGGCCTGTGATTCGTAGATAGAGAAGCCCTATCATGAACGCAAGCAGATAGCCCATAAAGATAGCGATAACACGATCCTTTGAATCCCAGTTCACCAGGTCATAATCGACCGGCACTGTGGAAGAGGCTGCTTTTGCCGCACTTGCGTTCAGAAACCTTGTTCCAGGCATCGAGAAAAGCGATGATTTAGCGAAGGTGGTGAGTTGTTGTTGGGCTTGACCGATAAAATTCTTGAAATGGGAAAGATTAAGGTCCAAAGAAAGGGCACCGGGAACACCGAGAGTGACAAGCCGAATTGGGAAGTCGTGCAGGATGAACTTGACAGTGGCAAATACCGATTGGAAAACAGCTCCAAGGCGAGCCTGGTGTAATTTAAGCGCCTGGTGCGAGAGCACTGAGAACATGGGAATATCAGACTCATGGAAGACCAGGAATGCTTTGATCACTTTGTTCAAGCGATGACTGCTTGCGTCGATGAGGGAAAGCGATGCACTAGTGACGGACCTGTCCCGGGAAATCCATTCTCCGATAGGCAAAAGAGCACTGAAAGGGCTCAGCACAATCTTGAAAACGAGGCTGAACCAGTACATGAGATACCCCACGACACCAATAAGAGTATCAAGAGCGATGTCTGCGACAACTTCAACCGCAGTGATAGGGACACCGATGATGAGTTCAAGAGGGTTGGCTAACAACACAAGAGCAATTTTACCCCATAGGTACGGGAGCCAGATACCGATGGCCACCGTGAACGCAATCAGAAGGGCACAGAAGACGCCATTCTGGAAAAGCCCGAAAATGGGACCATGCATGCCAATGAGGTCCATAATCCCTTCAAAATCATCCGCTTCGATTGCATCGATATCGTTAGGGTCCAGGCCAGCATCCGCGGCTGCAGCAGCATCTGCGGCAGCATCTGCTTGAATGTTTTCCATACGATTCGGCAAAGGCACGAATGGGTCTTCCAAGGCCGGATTCTGGACAATATGCTCTTCATCTTCGGGGAATGGCTCTTCCGCATCACGCTCTCCAGGTGTGATGTCTCCCCAAAACCATTCGAACACCCGTTCAGTGATGCCCAGCGGAGGCCGATCATCCACTCGTAAGTTGGCAACAGGAATGGCATTCTCTCTAGTGGGCGGCCCGTGATCCACGTTCTGGGCAGAAGGTCCGGCGTCGGCATCAGGCGGGTGATCATCGACATCAAGATTAACAGCATCAGCGCCGTCTGAGACTTCCGGAGCGTCGGGATCGTAGGGACGAGTAGAAGGCCCTGCTGATGAATCCCGGTTTATGGTCGCGCCGCTGATGGCATTCACAATCCAGTCCAGGTCATCCCCGTGAGCCTCTTCACGGAGAATGCGCAGCATTTCTTCATGGTTACCATGAGTCCGGGCCACTAGGTCTCGGAAAGCCAGAGCACGAGCCGTAGGAGGGCCTCCAGTTTCGTAATCAGGGCCGTTCCCATTGTAGTCTCGTAGCTCCGCTTCCAACCCAGGGAGACCGTACTCAGAATCATTCGAGGACAGATTTGGGGAGTGGGGGGCGAAATGAGGAAGGATGTCATTGTCCAACTCATGGGCTTCAGCGTGTTCACCGTTGACCTCATTTTCCGGGTGGGCGGGAATGGGTTCTGGTTGTCTAAGACCACCTTCTTCATTGAATCGATCATGTATCCGATCGTTAGCATTTGCAACTAACTGAAGAGCAGCCTCACGTTCTCCTTCTGCGATATTGACCATAGGTTGCTGTTGAACAACCCATTCCCGGATCAGGAAGAGTAGAATAAACGCAACGACCACAAGAAGGGTGATAAGCTGTCCTTCTAATGTGTCCATGATCATGTTGTTGATTGTTGGATACGGCGTCAACGAGTTCAGGAACTTCACATCCGAAAGCCATGATGGATACCGAGGTTTTGTTGGGCTAGCCGTGATGTTGGTTTGTCCGTTGCCTTGCCCAACAGTCGAGGTAAATGCGGGCATGAACAGAGTGGGTATCACCTTTTTAATTAGCGTGAGCATGAGCGGCTCGCCAGCTGCGAAATTGAGAATTGGCGATCGTGCAGACGGTACATCAGTAGTAGACGAGATAGCAGCATTAGAAATTGTCGAAGTAATCGAGTCAGTTACGACAGCATTTACAGCACTGCCGTTTGAGAACGGTTGCCCAAGTGCGGCTTGGTTCCGAACGTTATCATGGGCAGACCACCGACCATCAGCAAGCCAAAACAGTGCCCTCCAGATGGCGCGCATCGACCACGGTAGCCATCCCAGCCAGACAAATGCAACGAGAACAAATCTCAACCATGTCACTAAAGTCCGGAAGCATTGGATCAGGGCTTGCTTCGCAAACAGAGGTGCGGGAAGGCTCTGAGGCATGTTTGGGTCGTATAGTTTCGTAAATCGGAACGGCGTTTTGCAGAGCTCACAGTGTTTCTTCTGCGAGTGCGACAACCATTCGACGAGACATATTTGGTGGACGAATTTAATACTACCGCTGCACTTGCACGGGTAAAACAGCGGTTCCTCTTCCGTTGCCTCGCCATGACAT